TGTGCAGTATACTGTACAGTATAAATGTGTAGGGGTGGGCAGAAGCTGGGTTGTTTTCCTCTCATTTTCACTCCTATGTACTCCTCCCCTAGACTTTGTCTATCACAGTGCGCTTTACTGTGTATGTGCTCACTACTTCCACACTGCTGAGGTTTTGTGTGATGTGAGAGGAATGGGGTGGCAAATGTGTAGGAGTCAGATAGCAGCAGGATGCCTCCTATTCACTCCCACCCTCTCACATTGTATCTAATTTGAGACGTACTTGCCACTCCCTCATAGTTATGTTGAGGGTTATTATTCCTGAGTATGTAGTGTGGGAAGGCAGTGTGGCCTGCACCAACAGCCAGGCTGTTGGTGTTGGCCACACTGCCCAATGTAGGCACCACAGCCTGGCTGATCAGGCACTAACTTTGAGGAAATAATACAGCTCCCTCATAAAGGCAGCTAGGGGTCTGTTGGTAATTTCCTTTATGTATGAAGTGTGGGTGTTGAAGAGCCTTGATCCCATTGTATCTGCTTTTCATTAGAAGTATTTTGCATTGTCTGCTGAGCATCTTGATCTCGTAGGAAATAATTTTTTGCTTTTGTTACAGGGAGTACAGTTCAAGGGACTTCAGGCATTTTCAGTAATATAAGTGCTTGACTGGATTTATGTAGGCACAAGTTGGGAGCATAGAAATAAAGGCAGTGTAGAGTCACCAAGGGTATAATTCAGAGGGCTGAGGTGGTTTGGGCTTGTAAAGAGGGTGGAGAGGGATAGGATGATTAAGTGGGTGTTTAGCTAAATCTTGGGAAGATCTGAGAGATATAGTAAGGGAGGCTTTAGGTTTAGGGGCTTCAGCATCCAGCAGGCTTGTGGACTCGTGTTAGTTAAGGAATGAAGAATAATGGTTTTTAATGAACATTATGTTTGAATATTTGCTAGTAGCATTTATGAAGGAATTCAGGGAAACCTGTTAGACTTTTCTGGAGATGGGAAGCATAGTGCCTGCACTCTGAAGGAAGATGCAGTCAAAGGGTCATTTAAATTGGGATCTCAGCACTCTTTGCAAGATAGTGTTGCAATGAATGATGGTGAATGTCTTCCCCTTTTCCTTTTATTTTGTGGGGGGGGGGTCACCCTTCCTTGGTGGGAGACAGTTGTTTGGGGGGGGGGGGTGGCAGAATGTTCTGTGTACATTCTCCAGCTCTGCAATTTTGCTTGCTTTTAAAGGGGGATGTTGGTGTGAAGCAATATTAAAGTTAAGAAAAAAATAGTGACTTAAGAGAATCATCATTGGCTTGGCATCTCTTGTTTTGAAGGTTTAGTAAACTAGAGTCACAGTAGTGATTTTTGATTACATTCCTTTTCTGGTCTTTTGAGTGATTTGAGTCTTTTATATTCCATTTCAGTTTTAAGTCTTTTCCTAGTGAAGTAACTGAAATTTGTTCTCATCAAAAATATTTTTGTGGCTCACTGGAATACCTGGTTAATATCTAACTTGGAAATTTTGTGTCCTCAGTGGATGGGACTTTCATGCAAATTTTAAAATAGTCTGCAAAGGATGATACGGTGCTCTAACCTTGCATCTGTCTCTTGGATAGGAGAATGATAGGTAGAGAATTAGGGCAAGTACTGTGCATTGACAGATTATCACTGGAAGTGTCTTGTTTTACTTTTACCAGTTTTCACAAATTAAATGTAAGCTTTCTATAAATGCATAAAATGAATACAAAGTATGGTAAATTTGAGAAAAATATTTAAAATAATAAATTTGAATAGTTACAATAAATGTAACTTCAGATTTGCACTTGTAGGACATGTGTTTTCCAGAGTGCCTTGATCGAAAGTATGTAACATCATGAATTGTAACTTTGCAAGCCATGGACCTACTGTTCTTGAAGCAGTAAGAAATGTGTAGGAAAAGATTCTATTTGAAGCTACCCTCAAATAAATAAATATATAAAAATACGTTATCCATGGAGGCAAAGAGGGGAATGTACGAAAGTACGTATAGTCGTACCAGCACTTATATGGGTGTGAAGCTTGGGTTGCAAATTCTGCAGTGATGAGGAGGCTGGAGGCAGTGGAGATGTCCTGTCTAAGGGCAATGTGTGGTGTAAATATTATGCCGAGAATTCGGAGTGTGGAAATTAGGAGGAGGTGTGGAGTTAATAATTAAGTATTAGAGGGCTGAAGAGGGGTTGTTGAGGTTGTTTGGTCTTTTAGGAGAATGGAAAAAAAAGTAAAATGACAGGAGAGTGATAAATCGTGGAAGGGGGGCGGGGGGTTTTTCCCTAAAAAGGGGTTTGGAGGGAAGGAGGTAAAGGAGATTTTGTGGGCAAAGGGCTTGGCTTCCAGCAAGCATGCTGAGGTGTTAGATAGGAATAAAGGAGAAAAAATGATTTTTGGGACCTGATGAGCTTTTGGAGTGTGGCAGGGTAATATTTAGTGAAGAGATTGGGGGAAATGTTTTTTTTATATAGCCGCATTTGAGTACTGAAAATGGGAAGATAATCC